CCTACCCAACTGCACCACCCGATCTCCTCAAGTTGTTGCTGAGCGATCAGTTCGTAGATGCCTTGGACAGTCCACAACTTAAGATACAAGTGAAGCAGGCACACCCCCTACTATGCAGGATGCGATGGCCAGAACTCTCGAATTTGAATCCTACGTTAAGTCCAGCACAGAGGTACCAAGGTTGGTACAGTCATCTGGATTCAAGGCCAGAAAAGGTCAGCTTTCAGAGAAGTTTGAGGGTCTTTGCTGGCACTGTAACAAACCTGGGCACAAGAGAGCTCAATGTTGGAAACTTCAACACAGGGGAGCATTTACTAGATATAGGGTAGTCTGGTATATAAAAGAGGGTGCCAACGTGACAGAAGGTAATGTGTGTGTAGATAGTGAGTATGTATATATGTAGATTAGTATATTAAGTGTGAACCTTATATATATTGTATTTCTGGATCAGAGCATTAAGTGTTAATATTATATTTAAACTTTTGGTGCCTAGATTACGACATTAAGTATTAATATTACATTTATATTTTGTATTTCTGGATTAGAGCATTATGTTCTAATGTTACATTTATATTTTGTATATCTGGACTATTTATATTTATACTTTCTATGTCTAGATTAGGACATTAAGATTCATCGTTATATTTATAGTTTGCCTGTGTGAATTAAGACATTAAATATGAACATTATATTTATACTTTCCATGTCTGGATTAAGACACTAAGCGTCAACATTATATTTATAGTTTGTGGATTTGGAATAGGATCTTAAGTGTTAACGTTACATTTATACTTTGTGGGTTTGGAATAGGACATTATGTGTGAACGTTACATTTATACTTTGCATGTCTGGATTAGGTCATTAATGTAAACGTTGCATTTATACTTTGGGGGTCTGGATCAAGTCATTAAATGTGAACGATATATTTTTACCTTGTACGTCTGGATTAGGGCATTAAGTGTCAACGTTATGTTTATGCTTTGTATGTCTGGATGAAAATATTGTTAACATTATATTTATACTTTGTGTATTTGTTTGATGGATAAACTTATTGTTAACGTTATATATGTATACTTTGTGTATTCGGATAAAAACATTGTTAACGTTATATTTATACTTTATGTATTCGGAAGAAAACATTGTAAATATAATGTTAATAATGTTATAACAGTAACAATGTTTTCATAGAGATACAAAAATTGTAAATATAACGTTAAATCCGAATACACAAAGTATAAATATAACGTTAACAAGTGTTTTCATCCGATTACACAAAGTAGAAAACATTGTTAACGTTATATTTACAATTTTTGTATCTCTATGAAAACATTGTTACTGTTATAACATTATTAACATTATATTTATACTTTGTGTAATCGGATGAAAACACTGTTAACGTTACAACTATACTTTGTGGGTTTGGATTAGGGCATTAAGTGTTAACGTTACATTTATAATTTTTGTGTCTGGATTAAAAAATTAAGTGTAAATGTTACATTTACACTTTGTATGTCTGGTTTCGGACATTAAGTTTCAAAGTTTTATTTATACTTTCTATGTCTGGATTAGGACATTAAGTGTCAACGTTCCATTTATACTTAGTATGTCTAGATTAAGACATTAAGTTTCAACGTTACATTTATACTTAGTATGTCTAGATTAGGACATTAAGTGCCAACGTTACATTTATACTTTGTGTGCCTGGATTATGTCATTAAGTGTTAACGATACATTTATAATTTATGGGTCTTGATTAGGTCATTAATAGTCAACGTTATATTCATACTTTCCATGTCTAGATTAAGACATTAAGGTACAACGTTATATTTATACTTTCCTTGTATGAATTAAGACACTAACTATCAAAATTATATTTTTACTTTGTGATTTTGGATTAGGACATTAAGTTTCAATGTTACATTTATACTTTGTAGGTGGGGATTAGGTCATTCAGTGTTAACGTTACATTTATACGTTGTATATCTAGATTAGTACATTAAGTATAAAAATTACATTTAGATTTTGTATTTTTGGATTAGAGCATTAAGTGTTAATGTTATATTTATACCTTATATGTCTGAATTAGGACATTAAGTGTCAAAGTTATATTTTTACTTTCTATGTCTGGATTTGGACATCAAGGTACAACGTTATATTTATATTTTTCTTGTATAAATTAAGACACTAACTATCAAAATTATATTTTTACTTTGTGATTTTGGATTAGGACATTAAGTTTCAATGTTACATTTATACTTTGTAGGTGAGGATTAGGTCATTTAGTGTTAACGTTACATTTATACTTTGTGGGTTTGGATTAGGACATTATGTGTCAATGTTACATTTATACTTTGTGGGTTTAGATTAATTCATTAAATGTCAGCGTTATTTTTTACCTTGTATGTCTGGATTAGAAAATTAAGTGTTAGCGTTAGATTTTTACATTGTGGATTTAGATGAGGACATTAAGTGTCAACGTTGGATTTATACTTTCTATGTCTGGATTAATTCATTAAATGCCAATGTTAGATTTTTACGTTGTGGTTCAGGATTAAAGCATTAAGTTTCAACGCTATATTTGTAATTTTCGTGTTTGGATGAAAACATTGTTAACGTTATATGTATATTTTTATGTCGGAATTAGGACATTATATATCAACGTTGCCTTTATATTTTATATGTCTTGATTATGACGTTAAATGTTAACATTAAGTGCTTACTCAGGAATGTTTTATACATCATTACTAACAGAAGTCTTATGGACTTGAGTGTTTATAAGTTACTTCATTACCAACAGAAGTGTTATGGACCTGAGTGTTTATTAGTTTCATCGTTACCAACAGAAGTCTAATGTATCTGAGTGTTTATGAGTTTTATTATTACAAAAAGAAGTGTTATGGACCTGAGTGTTTATGAGTTACATCATTACCAATAGAAGTGTTATGGACATAAGTGTTTATGGGTTTCATCATTACCAATAGAAGTGTTATGGATCTGAGTGTTTATTAGTTTCATCGTTACCAACAGAAGTCTAATGGATCTGAGTGTTCATCCTATCTTGTTTATTCTTATTCATGAATATTTATACTTTTACTTGATTTTCTAGATTTATTGTGAACTTTTATTGTTATTCTTCTAATTTTTAGACATTTATAATTTTAACTCTTTTGAGTAGAAAACAATAAAAAATCTGGCATATAGTTCCTATAGATTTCAATTTCGAATGTCTTCATGTGATACTGACATTTCCCACGTGAATATATAGTTTTGGAACAAACGACGGTTTAAAAACATTTGCGGTGAACGATGCTTGGACCAGACTCGTCGTACTCTTGTTTGGAGATCCACATTTGCTGGAAGGTGGACAGAGAAGCCAAGATGGATCCGCCGATCCAGACGGAGTATTTCCTCTCGGGAGGAGCGATGATCTTGATCTTCATGGTGCTAGGAGCCAGCGAGATGATTTCTTTCTGCATCCTGTCGGCGATACCCGGATACATTGTTGATCCTCCGGACAGAACGACATTAGCATAAAGATCCTTACGGATGTCAACGTCACATTTCATGATAGAGTTGTAGGTGGTTTCGTGAATTCCGCAAGACTCCATACCCAAGAAGGAAGGCTGGAAGAGAGCCTCGGGGCAGCGGAACCTCTCGTTGCCAATGGTGATGACCTGACCGTCGGGCAACTCGTAGGACTTCTCGAGAGAAGAGGAGGAAGCAGCGGTGGTCATTTCCTGGTCAAAGTCCAGAGCGACGTAGCAAAGTTTCTCCTTGATATCACGGACGATTTCTCTTTCAGCTGGAAAAAATAATCTACCTGTAAACTGTTAAACGTTAACCTAATGAACTAGTTATGATAATCTACCTGTAAACTGTTAAACGTTAACCTGATGAACTAGTTATGATAATCTACTTGTAAACTGTTAAACGTTAACCTCATGAACTATTCCTGATAATCTACCTGTAAACTGCTAAACGTTAGCCTGATGAACTATTCATGATAATCTACTTGTAAACTGTTAAACGTTAACCTAATGAACTAGTTATGATAATCTACCTGTAAACTGTTAAACGTTAACCTAACGAACTAGTTATGATAATCTACTTGTAAACTGTTAAACGTTAACCTGATGAACTATTCATGATAATCTACCTGTAAACTGTTAAACGTTAACCTGATGAACTAGTTATGATAATCTACCTGTAAACTGTTAAACACTAACCTTATAAACTATTCATGATAATCTACCTGTAAACTGTTAAACGTTAACCTAATGAACTAGTTATGATAATCTACCTGTAAACTGTTAAACGTTAACCTAATGAACTAGTTATGATAATCTACCTGTAAATTGTTAAACGTTAACCTAATAAACTATTCATGATAATCTACCTGTAAACTGTTAAACGTTAACCTAATGAACTACTCTGGAAAGTATAATCATGGATTACAAAAATATACATTTAGGAAAACTTATAAGAAATTCAGACAATTTTCCCGAAATAAATAAAGCAAACACACTTGTTGTTGTGAGAGTGTAATCGAATTTACATAATACCTGTTGTTGTAAAGGTGTAACCACGTTCGGTCAAAATTTTCATAAGGTAGTCGGTGAGATCTCGACCGGCCAAGTCTAACCGGAGTATAGCATGGGGTAGGGCGTAACCTTCGTAGATGGGTACGCAGTGAGTGACTCCATCACCGGAATCCATCACGATACCGGTGGTTCTACCGGAGGCGTAGAGGGCCAGCACGGCTTGAATTGCCACGTACATAGCTGGGGTGTTGAACGTTTCGAACATAATCTGTGGGAGAACATGACTTTAACTCTTATTATTACCTAAAACATTCAAGACAAAGATAGCCTATTTCTAGTTCCTTCAAGATACTTCACATCCCAAAATTTTCATTGATTGTTAGTTCTTATTTTTCTATTTAGTTTAAATTTGTCCGATAAAACCGGTCATGCAACACTGAAGAATTATTGTGGTGGAAACTATCACGATTTAAACCAATCAAGTAGATTTGTAAAATTACTGACATTCCGAATAAAAGCACCATATTTGTTTTAAGACTTCACTTTTTACTAGGATTCTTCAAACCCGAGACTTGGAAAATTCATACGTTGTAGTTTGGAATTTAGCCTGTAATATGATTCGCTTTTTTGTATTTAACGTGGATCTAATAAAGTGATACAATTATGTATTATTGAGCTGATGTAGTGTAGCTCATTAACATTGTAAAATGATGTACTAAAACGTAGTGTACATCATTAACATTGTGAAACGATGTACTAAAAATGATTCATTGTATGCACGATATGAAAGGATTTTTACATGAGGCTTGTACATACACAGCTGGCTCTACAAATATTCTTCAATTGACAAACCCATTGAAGGCCATGGGTAGGGAAACCAAGACTGACTGTTTTTATACCAAGTCCAACACCAGTTCTCTAGAGTAGTTGGTTGTTGATTGGTAAATATGCTGATTGTCTTTAAAATAACTCCAACACCAGTCCTCTAGAGTAGTTGGTTGTTGATTGGTAAATATGCTGATTGTCTTTAAACTAACTCCAACACCAGTCCTCTAGAGTAGTTGGTTGTTGACTGGTAAATATGCTGATTGTCTTTAAACTAACTCCAACACCAGTCCTCTAGAGTAGTTGGTTGTTGATTGGTAAATATGCTGGTTGTCTTTAGTTTTTAAACCAAATCCAACATCAGTCCTCTAGAGTAGTTGGTTGTTGATTGGTAAATATGCTGGTTGTCTTTAAGCCAAATCCAACATCAGTCATCTAGAGTAGTTGGTTGTTGATTGTCTTTAGTTTTCAAAACGAATCCAAAATCAGTCATCTAGAATGGGTATGTGATGCTGGGTCAATATGGTTTTTGCCCAGGTTCCAGCCTACTATGATTGCTGAAACAGAACATCCTAATTGGGCGAAATGTTTTCCATAATCCTGTTCCTTTGGCTGAATATCTCCTTCCTTGCTTCGTTAAGAGATTCCAGGTTGCTGGTCTTATCATATAGGATGATCGTGAACGTTCCAGGAGTTGGAAGTGTTAAGGTTTTACATCTGGTTGGGTATAAGGATTTAATTCAATGTAGGTGAGAGCCCGACTCAACTTTAGAGAAAGTTGACGTAGTATCGCTGACTTTGATATTATGGAAGAGAAGTAGAACCAGGATTTTCTCTATGTTTAAGGCAGATAACATTGACATTAAAATGGGTTGTTTATATCAGTATAACCAGGATTTTTTATATGCCTGAGGCAGATGACATTGACATCAAGATAGGTAAAAGGTTGCTTAAACTAAATATCATTTATATGTCCACAGCTGGGTTCTAAGGCATCCACCAGGTGATTCAGTTGTCTTGTATCTGCCTCTATCCTATTAACTGGTTTCTTATGTCTCAGTCGTTATGGCTAAAAATGTGATAACTTACAGGACTCTGTTGTGTCTGTCTTACCCGGATGGAAAGTAACAGTGGAAGGGTCAATGAAAATTAAAATTATGGAAATGTGGGGAAAAAATGTGTTTTGTCCTTTGTTTTATGTACTTGTGAACGCAAACTTCATCGAAATACATATGTCAATTGAAATATGTAATTTTGGGGAAAACTTTGCCATTATTAAAAGTACTTTCAGAACAGAGATGTAATGCATACTACATCAAAGCAGTTCCCTCAGTACAAATAAAACATGAGAGCATTAGTTTTTTTTTGTCAGTTCTACTGTGTTAATGTTTCAAATTTGAAACAAATTGGTCAACTACACTGAAACGACTTATAACTAAAATATTTAAAGACGGGATTACGTAATTGTTTGTTGGTTTGTTTAATGATACACAATAGGCTATCAGTACTCTGCCCACCGCAAGTATTGAAACCCTATTTTTAGCGTTATAGGCCCATCGGAAAATGTGGACTTACGTCAATAATTTATCGTTTTACAATAAAAGTACGTTTTTTGTCTCTTGTAAATTTTAATATTTAAGAAATATTAATTTTGTACTTGTTTTTCTGAAAACTAAATAATTGACTAATTAATTATTGATTTCCTTTAGAAAATAATTATTTCCAGAAATACTCCGTTCGTCCTATAGGTCTGATAAAATGTGCCACTATGTTGAAAATTAGTTCTAGAAATATAATGTAAACTTGACACTAGAAATGTTTCGAGTTAGATAGTATTTTGAACCAGGACATAATTATTCAACCAGAATAAATACCTGGGTCATCTTCTCCCTATTAAGCTTAGGGTTAAGGGGAGCTTCTGTGAGGAGAACGGGGTGTTCCTCGGGGGCAACACGGAGTTCATTGTAGAATGTGTGGTGCCAGATCTTCTCCATATCGTCCCAGTTGGTGACGATACCGTGTTCAATGGGGTACTTCAGGGTCAAGATACCACGTTTACTTTGGGCCTCATCACCGACGTAGCTGTCTTTCTGACCCATACCCACCATCACACCCTGAAAAAAAAAAAGAATTAGCTTTGTAATTGAACGAGAGTGAAATCTATTTGCCAGTAGTGT